TAAATCTCTTGCGTACATTATATGTATAGACTATGTGGCATTCCCGTTCGCTCAGAAAGCTGCATTGTATGAATCAACCGTACGAACTAAATATGCTAACTGTACGAAATGCACAATCGAAAGGATAATGCAATTTTGGATCACTAGACATAATTTATCAAATGCAATGTCAAATGTAAGTAATTCGCGCATCTGTAAATAAAATGTTTCTTTCAACCGATCGAAGGACATATCGATAGAGGCACGTGTGCGATCAAACCTTTTTCAATACGTAACTTCATATTCTCTTCTACGCGACCGCGAGTATATTATATCTACTTTGCACGATTACTGAATACGTCCAAAAAAGAACATTTCATTCGGTTGGATTATGCACGTAATTAGCCGATACGAGCATATATATGTATTATAAGCTCATTCACTTATTCACTATAATGGTAAACTGCCCGAGTCATAAAACACAACACACCCCACTAACACTATCACTATATACATGTAGTAACTTAGGTATAGTAGGTATATAACAAACACTAAGTACTGTAAGTACTCTCGACTTTCTGATGATGGCTTCGCGTCAAGGAGTTGCTGGCCGGCGACGACCTCATTGTCAGGAGTCGTTGTTCTCCTGTCCACAGTGATGGGTATACTCTATTTTAAGTATCAGTCTTTACAGGTTTACTACATTTACCGCAAACACAAACATAAAAATATTAAATGCGAGTGTGTGCAGATGACGATGAGTTTATTATGACACGAGTGCGAAGGAGACAGCAGCAGTAGCAGATGATATGTATATATTTGAGGGAAAAGAGAGGGTGGTGGGAGGAAGAGGCCGGATTTATTCTCTTTCTCTTTTGCTTCAATACGAAATGTATTATGTATATATATATGGGTTCGACGACACAAGCAAGTCATCAACTTTTTCTTATTTCTATGCTCACTCTTTCTACTGTTCTGTTGATGTGTTTCTCTTGCAAAAAACGAGGGTGGATCGCGTATTCGCGTGTCCTCCGAAGGGTCGTTCGTTGTTGTCTCTCGCAATTCACCTACATGGCTACATTCTACATTGCTACGCTACGTACCAATATACCATACATACATACAAATGGAAGAATGGCGAAGTACAGTGTAATATATACAGGTATACATTGCCATGAGGGGGGGATGGCGAGGGTCGAAGTTGCCTAGGCTTCCCCTTTACTCCCTCTTTCTCTTTTCACACTCTTCACAGTCCTGAATCCTGAACCGCTCAACCCCCCCCCCCCCCGAGAAAGGGCTTTGTGCACCCCCTGACCCCCTCCTCATAATAAGCCGCAACACACATATATATTATATTTAGAGTGCAAAATCCGTGATTATGCAGAAGTATTATTATTTGGTGTATGTTTTGCTTTAAATATGCGATACGTTATCTTGAGGGTTGAGGGCATGATGGTATGGAAGAGAGAGAGAGAGAGAGAGAGAAAGATTGGCAAGGAAGGAATCTTGAGCATGCCCGTTCTTATATAGTCGCACTTCCGGTGGGATTTTCAGAATTTCAGATCTGGATGGATTATAATTATTGCTTCGGGTTACTGACTGACTGCAATACCTATGTAATCGCACTCCAGGGGGCAAGACACAGTGAGTCATTAAAATATTTTTCGTATGATTAGTTATTTTGAACCGAGAGTTACAAATGTAAGTATATATAATGTATATATCTCCTCGTTAATTTAGAAGCGGTATCCGTGTGATGATTGTATTGGTTGAACATTTTGTTAAATTAACGACTTTTAAAGTTACTTCGAACGTTGACATATGATAATTTGGAGAAAGAAAAATAATATCACACTTTTAGACATGACTGCGCTTAACACATAATATTATGAGTGATAAGTAAAACATGCAGTGTACTTATTTCGCAAAAGGGAGCGAACGTTACTTGGATGCATATATGCTTACTTTTGGACACAAATGTGTTTACATATTATGCGCGCTAACGTGTCTGTGTTTTTTTAGCTTCCATTTGCCAGGTATATCTCTGGCTTAATAATTTATTGATAAATACAAAAAATTTTGTTTATTACCAGGTATCTTTGGGCAAAATTAATATTCATCCAAAACAACATATCCAATAGATTAGAGATGTTTTTATTCCGAAACTTTTAGACGCACATCAGAACTGTGTGCTCGGAATATAAATATAATCATCTATATTTTCATAAATTGAAAAAATTCTGAGCATAGTTTTTTTACAACGTAAACAACAAAGTTTAGTAATATCCAATATGTCGCGGTTAAGAAATGGTCCACAACTTGATACATCCAATGTAGTTGTAGTGTCAATAATTAAAAAATTATATAGTTAACAATCAATTAAAAATAACGGTATATTACGTTGCTAGGGCACAAAATACAAACATGAGCGGCCGAAGGGCACGATTGTCGTATGTTTGTGCCCGAGTCGCGTATAATGTTTTTCTTACCGAGGGCGCAAAGTGCAATTTTGCGCCCGTGGGCACACTTTGCGCCCTAGGGCAGAAAAGTACTTTGGGCCCGTGTGACCCAAGGGCGCAAAGCGGCGGTTGCACTTTGGGCCCATGGTAAGAAAATTAAAACTTTTAGGGACACGTGTACGTTAGCTAAAACATTTTCGCTTTACCAAGGTAAAAATCTCACTTTCTTCACAAAAACTTTTTATAAGTGGTGAAATTGAAATGGTAGTTTTCCTACGAGTTTGAAAAGTCTCTGTTTGCGAACCGAGAGGTTTGCGGCCCGAGCCGAAGGCGAGGGATGTAACGAGGTTCGTAAAGGAGACTTTTCGAATGAGTTCCGGAAAACTGCTTTTTCGCCCGAGGAAGTACCAGCCTCCCAAAACCACCCGAGGGCGGAAAAAACAAAATTAGTCAATAACTTATACAGACACTCTTTGTAATGCGCGTGTATAAACCCATATACAATCATGACATAAATTCTTGTCTATTAAGAATGATATCATTGAACATACGTACAAGTTTATAAGTGTAAAATTTTACGTATATGTATAATATAAAAAAAAATGTGTATGTGATTCATACAAACACACGTCTGAAATATATTACGTGTAATACAGTTTTCCTTGAAAGGGTCGTTTTGGTGTTAGGCAAGCTGTATGCACTTATACGTGGTATACAATTAGCTAAAAAATACAAAATTATTGAGATCCAAATTTACAGCTATTAAAATGTAGATATATTTTTTAATGCACTCAATATCGATTTTCATGAAAAGTTTCGAAATATCCTTGGATGATTCACGATGATTCATTTTTTTAACGTATGTTATACTTATATTTCTATGAAGTTTCGAGGTTCTTTAAATTAATAAGCAAGGCGTGCTGCGCACAGCACAATTGTCTTTAATTTTTTAAACCAGTCGGTAGTAATTTACCAATGAAATACTTTTTTTTCTTCTTGTAACATCGTTTCTGTTGGATATTCGAATCAATGCACAAAAATAGTAACACATAAGTACATACCGATTTCATTTACCGATCCGAAATCGGTATGTTCGGCTCACCATGAGGACTTTCGCTGAAAACAGAGTGATTCATGCTAAAGATATATAAAAATATTTAAGCACCCGTGAATGTAAATCTCTTGCGTACATTATATGTATAGACTATGTGGCATTCCCGTTCGCTCAGAAAGCTGCATTGTATGAATCAACCGTACGAACTAAATATGCTAACTGTACGAAATGCACAATCGAAAGGATAATGCAATTTTGGATCACTAGACATAATTTATCAAATGCAATGTCAAATGTAAGTAATTCGCGCATCTGTAAATAAAATGTTTCTTTCAACCGATCGAAGGACATATCGATAGAGGCACGTGTGCGATCAAACCTTTTTCAATACGTAACTTCATATTCTCTTCTACGCGACCGCGAGTATATTATATCTACTTTGCACGATTACTGAATACGTCCAAAAAAGAACATTTCATTCGGTTGGATTATGCACGTAATTAGCCGATACGAGCAACAATGCGAGAGAGAGAGAGAGAGAGAGAGCTAACATTTGATTTACCGTTGGATGAGTTGTCTGTTGTAGGAACTATACCGGAAGGAAAACCCAATGTATGTATCATTATAAATATTGTCCATGCGTATATGTTTATTGTAAAATACACTATTTACCATTGTTACGTTGTAATATACCGCGTTAAGCAAGTGCACGAAACAACTTTCTGATTTTCCAGATCCTTTACTCAAACTTTTTCACAATAACACAATGGCGAGGAAAATTTTTTTTCATTCATATTTCAGGATTACTTTTTAATATTGTTATACTCCTATTGTGATGCCGAGGTAATCTCTGACGAATAATTAAGAGAGAAAGTCGGGGCAATGATCAAGATGAGAATTCTCAGGAAAGTGAATGTGAACTTACGAAAATTTCTTCATTGTGAATCTGTACCGACACGAAAACCAAACATGATATTGTGTTCTCACGAGTATTTCATGAAAAATTAAAAAAATTTTTTAATAACAGGACGTGTGTCATTGTTGAAAATCAAGCACAGCGATTCGCGAGTCATTTTTATTTGTTCAAAATTATATTACAATAAGTAGGCTCAGGTTTCATTTTTCCACTTTTTTAATTTATTTCGTTGAAACGCTGTAAATCAAATTCATCCACTCAACCAACAAATTTTTTTTCCGTGAAAATTACTGCAGCATTTGCAAACGTAAATTTGGAACTTGTATGGAGCTTTGTTAATTTTTTCAAATCTTTGATAGTCATGCAATCGACAAAACCGATGTTAACAATAACATTTTTTTTTTTAAATGCAATTTTAGTGCCTCTAATAACTTTTTGAATATACATTAGATTCGAAATAATACATGTATATACTCATTTCGACAAACAAAAGTATATACCATACTAATAGTGTTAATACAAAGTTCAGCAACAATTCCATGTTCAATATTAAATTTTTTACACTAAGTAGCACTTTTTTATGTTACAGGTACAGCTATCACAATTTTTTTTTTTTTTTTCATATGTACAAATATTTTTAAAAATAATAAAATAATTTCTTGGTTTCCACGTATTGCACGCCAGTACGATCAACGTATTTCCAACAAAAATTGTTTATTGTCTATTGTCAATACAATAGATCTTTGGCAATCATCTCGATTTCACTCTTTTTTTTGACTGTTCTCGGTAAAATCTTTAAATATTCCTGATGCCGTTTTCGCTTGCGTGACATTTCCTCCTGAAGTACTCGTTAAATCGAAGAGCTGCATACCTATAAAGCAAATAATTATTAGTTAAGACGTCAAGACTTTTAAAGTTGCTACTAGATAAATTTTTTTTTTTTTTTTTTTTTTTTTTTTTCAATCAAAAATACTGTCATCTGTACGAGGTGGGCAATGATCTTTCATTTTTGTGTCAAAATGAAGGTCACTTACTCTAAAAAGTCAAAGTCGATATGTGAATATTGACTCTGTATGAGACTCCAGCAGCCCCAGAAGAAATGCGTCATTAGTACAAATTGTTTAACTTGCTTGTACAACTTCGCAATTTCATCTTCGGACACGTCCTCGATATTTTTGTAAGTCCGCAAATAAATCTTGAGCCACGATTTTTGCAACTCTTCGTCGGGATACAGAGAAAAATCAGGATTATCCACTCCTGTCGAGCCATTAAAATAAATCATTCGAGCATACCTTAATTTTATCCTTATCTTATTTGTTTTCCGATAAAAGCTATTATCTCACCAGCGAATTCAGCAAAATGATTTGCTATGTCAAAGGCTTGATTGTTGTAGGCCGCATATTCGAAATCTATAAATGTTACTTTGTTCTCTTTTTGGTTGTAAAGTATATTCGTCAGGAGCAAGTCGTTGTGACAAAAGACAACAGGAGAATCCATCCTCGAAAGATTTTCCTTGAGAGTTTGATACTCGTGTAGCAACGAGGAATGAGGTTTTATCAACTTTTCGAATCTACAAGTTACATTTTCGATGTCGTAAGATTTTGAAAAGCTTGTGAAAAATTTATACGTAACAGGAAACGCTTACTTTTTTCGTTTTTCTGGATCGTCGAAACTTTTTGGCATCAACTGCATGAACTTTTCGGTTTTTCGCCATATTATTGGCTCGCTTTGATTTTGATCGGTACTTGACTGAAGCAAATGCATTTCAGCCATACGCTGAGCTACAAGTTTATAAATTTCTGGCTTCCTAACTGTGTCAACAGTAAGCGTATCGCCTTCGATGAACTCGTAAGCAAGTCCATTGTCAAACGTAGCATAAATGGAATGCGTATGACCGGCCTTGTGTAGTGCCTTTAAAATTAAATTGAAAAGTTTTATAAATAAATCGAGAGAAACAGAAAACTTGTATGCATTAATTGTTTTAACTGTAAAATAGTCTATGTATACCCTTATATTCCTAATTTCCTGCTTCCTATCAATAAGAAGATCAGTTTTGTGCCCATAAACTCTGACTAGCACCATTTCATTATACTTATCTCCACACCAAATTCCTACCAATTTATTTGATATTCCATTGGTAAAGATCTAGAAATTACAAAAATTCTTACTTTTCCTGTTATTAAGTCTCGCTTATCACGAGTTATCTCGTATTACACACGCTACCTTATGTAATAGCTGGTCAGAAGGCCACATAGGTCTCAAGAGTTTTACAATTTCCATAGCACCGTTTATTATGTCATTTTCACAAATAGAAATACTGAAGTGCGGCTCTTTTATTCCAGACTCCATTCCTAATGCGAGATTTATGGATCAAAATATTGTATTTGAAAACTTGAATATATGTAGGGATATTTTTATTGTTACATGAATCTTATTTAAAATGAAATATTGAAAAAAAATTCGAATTAAATTTATTAGTAATCATCTAACAATTATTTTATGTAATTAATATGAGTGCACACTAATTGATAGTAAATTAAAAATTATAGCAGATATTTTACATTTCATACTTATGAATCTATTGTTTTCAAGTAAATAATAACAAGAAATATGAAACTATATGTTTCAAAACGCACAGTCAAAATCAAACTAAAAACGCAGGTGTAGTAAACATTTATAAACGTGAAATACCTTAAGATGGTGTGTTGCTTATCAGTCACAAGGTATTGAATCACAAAAAAACAACCTTGTCTTTTTATTTTCTTATCTTTCTTTAGATGGATAAATTTAACTGCAAGTATTTTTTTTTTTTTTTTATCACTTGACACGATTTTGTTTGAAATTCTAATAAACACAATTTGAAACTCAAGGTAATTTATGCTGTATCGAGGTAGAAGTTTTCATCGATAACGTTTTTTCAGCTGAATACTCTCCAGAAAGATGAATTTTTTAACTTTGTGAGACAGTGGCTCAACTGACACTGATCCAACAATTGCCAGGCCAGTTGTTGAGTAGCATTTGCTAGCTGATAACAAAATGTAAACCATCACAGACTAGCTGCTCCAGTAGCATTATGATTGTTAGGATTAAAAAAGGTACCCACCTCACAACTCACTTCCCTCTCTCACTCCATCTCTCTCTGTGTGGCACTGTTGTGTAGCATAGTCACATGTCTTCATGGAGTATAGTTAACTTCTTCTTGGAGTAGGGAAAAGCATTATACCTGTTCAAATGAAGGAAATTACTGGTTATTCAGCTGCAAGTTATACTTGATGCAAAAATGTTCTCAAACGTCCCATGTGTGCCTTTGAACATGCAGTGCTGTAATATATTACATGTATCTCTATTCTCCAGCTACCCAGTAACTGTTATAATGCTTAATTCAATTTATCTTGTAATTGAATCATTCAACCAATCAATATAATTTAAAATAAATGTTTGCTTTTATTTTAAATCATAATTATAGTGTCGCTCATGCATGTATGCACTACTGTTTCACGCATTAGGCATGACAAACGTACTAGAAAAAAGACAAATAGTCAGAAGCTCAAATTGAAAATGGAGAAAAAAGAAAAAAAAAAAAAAAAAAAAAAAAAAAGAAATAAATAAGTTGCAGTTACAACCACACCGAGACTACTCCAAATTTGTATGATTTTGCAGTTTTAATCTTATTATTAGTTGTTTCCAAGTATTCACTATAAATACACTCATGCAATATTAGTTCAAAAATATCACATGTATTTCGCGAGTAGGTGCAATTATTCATGTATACTTACACCAAATCAACCGACCACGTATTTCATCAAATTGACAATTAAACACAACATTTATCATTTGCTGGTTGCTAAATAAGTTAAGTACTTAGTTACTCATGACTAAAATTTTGTTGCCATTGAAATAATAAGTAACGATGCCATTCACTACGCACGAAATTTGCAACAAAAAAAAAAAAAAAAAATAGGTGACAAACAAAATTTAGTAAGTAGCAGAGAATTGCAGAAACAGTGGGGCAAAGCAAACACACTCTTCGAAGTTTCGGATTCGGACGTGAGAGATCGATTTCCCCAGCTCCCTACCCACCCACTTTCCTTTCGCCTTGCTCTATATACTAAACAGGATCCGACTACATATATAGAAATGAGAAAATAAAACTGTGACAGAGTTATACTTTGTGAAGATGCAAATCAAGGACGTCGCTCTTATCGTCCTCCAGCAGATTTTACAACTTACGCATTGTATGAAAACAAACAAAAGTCACAAAAAATACACAAAAACATAACCCTCTCTAATTCAAACCTAGCCTAACCCTTTATTGCTCTCACAAATGACTCCGAAATGCTCTGAATAGGCGTCTGCTTTGTTGACATTTATGATGATGTAAACAAACGATCACCAATGACTGCAAGCGAAAGTCGAAGCAAATCTCGTATGTATACTTACCGGCTTTATCGTGAATAAAAAATGGCAATTAACAAATGTGCTCGTCAATGTTTTTTGGTTAAACAAATCATTGCAAGTACATGACTATATTTGCAGATAAATAGTTTGAAACAAACGTGAAAAAATATTTCATGATTCTGCAGATATTTTTTTTTTTTAACATTGCTGCCAACAAAAAAAAATTCCATATACTTGATATTTTTCTCTGCATTTGTTTCTCCATTAAAAATTGTACCGAACATAAAAAAAGTTTGACCACCTGGCCTGTGGCCTCAAAAAAAAATGCCATCGTGCCCAAGCGGAAATAATTTTGTTTGATAAGTAGGTAATAATTATTTTTAAGATTAGTAGGAAATATAAAAAAACAATAACAGTTTCTAATGTCTAGATTTGAGACAAGTAATAAGACTTATTTACAATTGTCTGTCATAAGTTGTTACTAAAACTTTAAAATACTTATTAGTTATTTTTTTTTTTTGCTCGTGAGATCGAACGGTAAAACCGTGCCCATAAAGATTATTATTTTTTATTTTTCTTTTCTGTCTGATATAAAACATAAAACAATAAATATAATCTATTATTAAAAATTATTAATAGCTATTAGTCTTTTCAAAATCTTAAAAGTCAAGTATTAAATAGTGAT